AAGGTTAGTTCTATTAAGGTATTGCAGTTCTATCTATAAAGAAACAACCCTGAAAATTTGAAGTTAATTGCATATCTGGTTAAAAAGATATGAATGATTTGCTGTTCGCAGTCAGACAAAAAAAATACCATTGAAAAATCAAGCTTCAAAGTTTAAAAACAATATATTTATTTAAAATTTACCTTCATACACTCATTTTAACTAACAACATTTTCAGATTCATAACTTTTTTTTAGTTTTTAAGTTGTTTTCAGGCCCGTAGAAACAAAAATTATATCAGGGGGGGGGGGGTGGACAGTGCTGGATTAAGGGATCCCGAAATAGTTTTAAGGACCTTTTTTTTTTTTAGTTATTTCTTTCTCTAGATAAATAGCCCCGGGCCTCGAAAAGTCTTAATCCGCCACTGTGGAGGGAGGAGGGGGGGATGAAATAGGTCAAATAGTAGTAGTTCAAAACTTTTTGCCAAAGGAACTTAAGCCAAAAATACGGATAGCAAACTAGGTTTTTTCTATCCTTTTTTTTCTTTTATATCTTAATTTATAATCGTTTTCTTTTTTCTAAAAACTAACTTCAAAATTATTGGTTTTGGAAAATTATTAGGGGGGAGGCAAATGCCTCTGCTGGTTCCCCCCCCCCCCCCCCCCCTCCTCCATTGCTACGGGCCTGGTTTAGTAATTATACAATTTTATTATACTAAATATAATTATATATTCTTATTGGGGGGGGGGGGGGCAGTTCTACCCCGAAATAATTTTAAGGACCTATTTTTTTTTCAAGTCATTTTTTCAGTAACAATAATCGTTATAATATCGTTTCAATAACAATATATCGTTATAATAATCGTTTCAATAACAATAATAGTAATAATAATAATAATGACAATGATAATAATAATAAAGTTATTATAATAATTTAAATAAATCAGTATTACTTTCCATTCAGCAATCGTCAGGGCCGTATAAACAGAAATTTTATTGGAGGGGGGGGGGGAGCAGTACTACCCCGAAATAATTTTAAAGACCTATTTTTTTTTTCAAGTCATTTTTCAGTCACTTTCTTCAAAATTATTTATTTGAAAAATTATTGGGGGAGCAAATGCCCTTGCTGCCCCCCCCCCCTCCAGGTCGCTACGGGCCTGATCGTTTTTACATACAAAGTTACAGTTACAAACAGTTATAAACTGACAAAACGTAACAACTAACGATGACATAAAAACGACTTCTGCTAAAAAAATTATAAAGATTTATTAAATATATTAATATAATTATAGTTGTTATAATCTAATTATCAAAATATATTGCAAGTATTATGACCAAATGAATAAAAAATAAAAAAAAAACAAGTTACAACAAACATTAAAAACTAAACAAAAAATTACCTTTGGCAAAAAAACAAACAAAAGAAAAACAAAAACTTAACATTAAAAATAATAATAATAATATATGGTAGAATAAAACATATATAATAAATGGCTAAAATGAAAATAAAAACAAATGATATATAACTGTATAAAAAACTTATATACCACTAAGAATAAATAATAATTAAAAAAAGACTAACAAAAAATAATAAGTATAACTATATACGCTAAATAACTGAAGAAAAATGAATAAATAATAAAATAAATAATCCTAAGAAATATATGAAAGAAAACTAAAGAAATATATGAAAGAAAACTAAAGAAATATATGAAAGAAAACTAAAGAAATATATGAAAAAAATAAAAAAAAAATCTTGATTTGACGATCGAGGTTCTGAAGTTTAATTTTTTTTTTTTCTTTGCCACTCTTTTTATAGTATTTCTGTATACAGGGCCGTCTGCATATTTTAAAACCCTATACAGGCTCAGAATAGGCAGAGATGCGCAATCTGATTCGCCAATTTTGAAAGAGGCTTTTGCGCGTAAGTTTAAATCAAAACAAATGTCAAAAATCGTATTGAATAATAAAAGTGAAATAGAGTAATTGCCAAATAATAATGACAAAAAAAAAAGATTTTTTTTATCCAATTTTGTACAATATAGTATATTTATTTTCTTAAAAATAAAGATTTAAAAAAATTAGTTTGTTTTCTTTATTTTTTTATAACTCTGAAATATAAAAATAACAACGATTGTAACAAACTATAAACCAAATGGTAAAACTTTACTATGCTGTGATTCCTCTACGATAGATTTTTTAAAACAGTTTTAAAATTTTACCAAGTAATATCAATAAAGTATTATTAACTTGGTATAAGTTTTTTCAAATTAAGCTCCCATTAATCCTATCTTTTAGCAAGAAAAATATTTTTCAAAAAATACTTTATTTTTTTTCAGAATTTTTACACTTATTACTCCCATTTATAAATTGTATACACCACTAAAACATTTTAAGCTTGAGAATATTGCTTATTGGTTGTTGTAGCTAGCCCAGATAATTTACATCACTCTCAAATTAATAGCAATTGTAAACAAGAGCTGATTTAGATTGGCTTTGGTAATGTATAGTAATAAAAGATTACAAAGCATTGTAGCATAATAAGCTATAGGAAAAAATTTATAACCTGATGTCCACAAGTGTGTTTTGATATAGTAAACTGATTACAAAAATGAACATTTCTTAACTTACCACACCTTTATACAGAGCTAAGTGTTAAAAGGTAAAAACAAGAAAAATTGCAAAAATACAAGTTCATGTTGTTGTTTATTTCAATTTTGAAAGACAATACATATAAAGCACATGTTTGTTGATATATAGCTTTTAACCTGAAGAAAATATTGGTTATTGTATTCTATAATTGGTAAAAAACGTTTACTCTTTAATAGCAACTGCTCATATTTCTGCCTGTATAGGGTTTCAAAATATGCGTCCCGTCTTATCTAAAGAAAAAAAAGGTCCTCGTTTTCCGACATTTGCCGACTGCCAACTATAAATTATAGTTGGCAAAATTAGCATTATAGAGTCGGCAAAATTAGCATTATAGTATAATGCTAATTTTGCCGACTCTAGTGGCCAATTTGCCGACTAAAAAAATTCATAGGGGGACTAAACACCCTTACAGCCCCCCTCGGGACAGCCCTGTCTGTTTATCTCATCTTTCTTTTTATTTATTTACTTTACTTTACATTTGTTTTCTTTTTTCTTTTTTTTATTTAAGTTTATGAATTGTTCTTCTTTTTTTTTTTTTAATATATATATATATATTGTTTTTGAATGATTTTTTGTTAGTATGTTTGCTTCAAGTTAATTTATATTATCGTTAATGAACTTTTTGTGCTTACATAATAAAGAATTATTATTTTTATTTATAGTTTGGTTTTTTCTATATTCTTTACATTTATCTTCACTTTTCTCTTTTCTCTTTTACCGTCATAAAAACGCATCCGACATTTGCGAAGACCTTGCGAAGATATATAATAGTTTAAAGTGTAATTTTTAATTAGATAACGTATCTTAAAGAATATTTCTTATAGCTAATACAGTTGTTACAACAACAACAAAATCAACAAGTGCTTCTCCAACAATAGCTGGAGCGACATCTACTATATATTTATAAAGATACGTAATTTATTAAGATCTTAAATTACACTTTAAATTATTTTTATTTATTATTACAAAAATTACGCATACAATTACACTAAACAGATATTTACACAGTTATGACAAAAAAAAATCACAATTGTATTGGGTTTATGTATTGTCAATACATTAACCCATATAACCTTAACACATATAAACACATTAAAATAACACATTATATATTCATATAATGTGTTATTTTAATGTGTTTATATGTGTTAAGTTTATATTGGTTAACGTATTGACAATACAAAAGATATTCATCTTCATTTATATAACTATTTATATCTTTGCAAGGTCTTCGCAAATGTCGGATGCGTGAATAAGTAATGGTGAATAAGTAAATTTTAGTTTTTAAAAGTTATTGTAAAAATAAAACTTTAGAATTTTATTTGCTACTTTTTATTTTTTATTTACTGCACAAAGCCTTTTTGATATTTAGATGATTGAATAACTATATTAATTGGTTGTTTTTACTACATTAATTGCTTGATTGTTTTTTTTTTATTTAGCTCCAGTTGCTTCTTTTTCTGGTACAACAATTAAGTTGTTGGAACAGACCTACCATGACGCGTATCGTATGGGTCCTGACCGCTTGTATTATTGATTCCAAACAAATCAAGTCAAGGAAATAAATACTTAAATAAAAAGAAAACAATTTTTACATAATTCTCTCCTTTAAAGAAAGTAATTATTTTTATTTGATGACACATTACTACAAAAAAATTTTACTGCTCTTCCTTACATAAAATTTTCTTCTGATTGGTACTCCAAACTTTTTATTTGTTAATTATTTTAGTTATTTAAATTTTTCATGTTTTTTCAATGAAGGTATCTTTATAAATGCTTTTCAATCATTTTTTAACATTTTCATTTATTTTGACAGTAGTTTACTCAGTGGGCACAGCGACGTTGGATTAATGTTTAAGCGACGTCGAACGCGACGTCGCATTAACGTTGGAAATGGAAAGTTGGATTGACGTTAATAGGCGATGTTATAACGACGTAAGATTTTGATGTTTAGGCGATGTTGTTAACCAATGTAATTTTGACGTCGAATTGCGATGTAATAGAAATGTAAACATTCGATGTAGCTGCGATGTTGTATGCGACGTCGCATCGATGTTGGAAATGGAAAGTTGGATTGATGTTAAAACACGATATTAGCGCGACGTAAAAAAGCGATGTTAGCGAACTATTTATAATCAATGATGTTTTATATTAAGTTTCGAGTTTTGCAAGTAAAAAGTAAAATTCTACTAAATTTTAACTTTCTTTTCAAACTCCAAACTTATGTTTTATGCATATTAACGTTTTAGTAACGATTTCTAACGTTTTAGTAACGATTTTTAACTTTTTAGTTTATACTCCAGCTGGAGTCTAAATTCAAATAAAATAAAAAGTTAGAATATAGTTTTGGTATTATAATATATAATATAATTTTTAAGTTAACAAGTAATTTATATTTTATGCTTTTATAATTTTAAAGTTTTATACAGAAAACCGCCTTCCACCTGTGGCCTTGTCTGGAGCATAACGTAAAATTTCTTTTACACAATTTATCACGTCTTCTTAAAAAAACTTTCTATCTTTCATTGCTGCACCTAAAGTAAAAAAAAAATGCTTGAATCAGTTATTTTATTTTTAATTTATACCAATTGTAAACGCTGACTTAAACAATAATCAAACTGCATACCAAAATAATAATGTTAACATATCGTGACCAGAGAGCTTATTTGTTTTAACTCCATTTGAAAATTTTGGGAGAAAATAAGGAATGACATTAAAGATAAACGTTTTAGACAATAACTTTAATAAATTTAAGTTTAAAATTTTGTTGTTTATATAACTATTAAAAACTTTAATATTTTACTACTTATTTATAGAAAATAGCAAAAGAAAAATTAAATATGAATTAATGAAAGTTCTTATAGCATACTAAAAGGGGTTAAAACAAATAAGAAATTAGTTTACAATATAAAAAAGCTTTTCAAAACTAAAATAATTTATAAAACGTACAGCACACAATTTTGCATATATTAAGACTTTTAAAAGCTTCTTTACTTGGTCTTGGCTCTTTATTTTTTTCGAGGCGATTAGTTACCCGAAAATTAAACTTGGCCAACACATCATACGTAACCACACTAAAACAACATATTTCTATTATTATTTTAATAAATATCAGTAACATAAAGAGGTTGTGAGTCCATAGCACTGTTACAACAAACCTTTCCATAATATTCTTCACAAAATCTTTAACATCTTTACCCCCAGCAGCAGAGAGTGATAAAACCTGATAAAATTAAAAAATTGAAATAAAACTTAATCACAACATAAACATTTTATTTTATAACATTTAAAATTAAAATCAATTTTCATGTTAGTAGGTATGTTAATTACGGTAAAGTCCCGAAGGCACTATTAAAATACAGACATTTTGTTAAGTATTGATTTTCTCCGGATCTTTATGCCAATTATCAATATCATAAATTCAAAAAGTAATTTATTAACTAGTTTATTAAATTCTTCTTCATCTTCTATTCTCTTCTCTAAATTGTGTAACTCAGTCAAATCACATACTGGGGATATTTCTTTAGTTACTCCAACTGTTGAAGATGTTAAATTAAGTAAAATTTTCTCAATACTTTCAAGCCTTTGATCTTGTTTGATCAGGTATTTCATTACTTTTGCTTGAAATTCTGAAAATATAAAATCACAACTTTGAGATATATAATTTATTATTTTTAATGTGTAATAATTTTAATTTAAAAAGAAGTTCAAAATGAAATAGAATTTTCTTTATTACATTTTATGTAATAAAGAAAACTTACATCCAAAAAACCATAGACTATTTTTGATTACTTTTTTAAACCAGAAAAATATTTTAAACAAAAATATTCTTTTAACCCATAACAAAAAATACCTGACTCAGTTAAAGGAAACCCTTTAATTGGCAACATAGCTGCATCTTTTCTTATATACAGACTATTAGTTAATTGTTCTTTCTAAATTAATGAAATCAACACTTTTATTGATTTTTATTAAATTAAAATTAATTAACAACTTAATTGATCAAACAAATATTAAATAACAACTGAATAAATTCAAGTATAAAAAAATGATAAAAAAAAAAGGTAACCATTATCAATTATAACATCACCAAGATGCAAAAGTCAAAAAAAGCTTAGATTAATAAATAAGAACTTAATCTGGATTTTATATGCATATATACAAATATATTTTTATATGCATAATTTAGTGCATATGCACAGAACCTCAGAATCGTTTTGGACTTGTGAACTTCCACAGGTCTCCTCAAAATGAACCTGAAAAAAATCTATTATTAAAATAAAACAATAATAGTATTTTAAACAAAAAGTTTTTGTAAAAGAAATAATATTTATTTAGTATTGTGCATAGTTTAAATTCAGATGACTGATTTTTACCTCTTCATCATCTGACCATATATTGCTTTTCTTCAGTTTGTGTATTTTCTAGTCAAAAGCAGTATTAATAAAAGTAATTAATAAGAAAAATAAAAGAAATTCATAACATAACATTATATTGATTATGTTCATAACATTATAAATTTTAAAGAATAAAATAAAAAAACTACTTAACAGCACAACTAGTGTTGTTATTGCCTTCGACTAAATCAACTAAAAGTCAATTAGTCAAATGTCAAAATTAGTCGAGTAAATCAACTCCAGATTTATTACTATTTGACTAAAAATCGATTTAGTCGGGTAATTATCCTAACATTCTTATTTCGATTTTTTTATTTGATTTAACTTCATCAAGTATATAAATACATATTTATATTTGATTTAACTTAATATATAACTGTTCTTTAATAATAAAACTCTTTGCTTTGTTAATTGTAAAGCTGTGAAAAATTGTTAAAAGGCGGGTACCTGGGTACCCATTAAAATACAATATTTTTTTATAAAAGTTGTTATTCGAAAAATCAATAAAAAATACATTTATTTAAACTATTTAAAATTTTAACAAGATCTTCAAGATCTTCATTCACATACGTTGTTCAATTTGTTAAATTGAATTTACATACCTTTTACAATTAGTCATTGTAAACATGAAAAAATATATATACAATTAATAAATTGTTTAAATATATATAATTAAAAGTTAAAAACAACTTGATTATTTTTATTACAATTTATTTTGCAATAATTTAAATTAAATAAATTTTTTTTTTGAAATATTTAGACTAAATCAACTTATATCAATTTAAAAATTGTGTTAACTAATTTCAGTAGACTTTTGAAAATATATTAGTCGATTTAGTTAACAGTAGATTTTTTAGGTCGTAACCACACTAAATATAATTATACAAAATAATTAACTTTTAAATCATCATCATCATCATCATCATCATCATCATCATCATCACCATCACCATCATCATCCTACTTAATAAAAATAAAACTAAGTAGAAATACAACTTATAGCTATACTTTTTTTTCAATCACACTTGGTAATATTTCATTCTTTTTCACACTCGATATTTGTTTCTATCAATGCAAAAATATGTAATGATGATATATATACTCATTTAAATGTGGATAAGAATAGAATAAACTGTAATGTAATGTAAACAGTAATCTTTCTAGTAACATTGTCATGATAAAAAACTTCTGTTCCATAAAATAGGTTGACGTTGGGTTCCACTTGTACAAATTCATTTAAATTTTTTAAAGTTTAAAATTTTTTTTTTAATTTTTAAATAGAAAAATTAAAACTAGCTAACCCAAGCAAGTGTGTCTGGATTAAATATAAACAAATAACTATACCTTCTCTCCAATGATTATAAATGATTATTTAATTTATATAAATATAAATTAAACAGATAAAAAATTTACATTACCTTGAATTCTAGATGGTGGAGAAGGAAATGATAGAGTATTTTGACTGTCATCTACAAATTATAGTAAATACTAACAAAATAGTATATATAGAATATACTTTAATATAGATTACTGTTAAAATTAATTTGTTATTACCCAATGTGCTAGAAATATTTTCCTATAGCAAAATAACAAAATCTAAAGTTATCTTGTGTGCTAGCAATACAAAATTTATAAGCACATTTGACCAAAATTCATTTTTTCTTTTTAAATAATATTTACAAGATAAAACTAAATTAAATTTAAAGAACTAATAACTTTCTTTTTTTTGTGTGTAATGTTTAATAAACATTATTAAAAATTACTAAAAAAAAATTACTTGTTTTTTTATTTAATTTTTTTTTTATTGGTGAGACACTTTCACCATCTGTAGAAAACCACCCAACATCTGTACTGCACATTTCATTACAGAACTCATATGTTCCTGAATTATAATTAAAAAATTTCAATAAAATGAGGATTTAAAAATTATTTGAAATGTAACAAATCAGTATAATATACAGAAACACAAATAAATAATTAAAAACAATATATATATATATATATATATATATATATATATATATATATATATATATATATATATATATATATATATATATATATATATTTCACAGAAATATATTTATATATATTTATATAGAAATTTCACAGAAAAAATACAGAAAAAATTGTATTAAAATGCGTGTTTATAGAAAATTTTAGTAAACATGCATTTAATCCAATAGCACTTCTGAAACACACCAATAAGTTGAAAAAAACATCAAAAAGTTAAAAGAAAAAATATCCAAACAAATTTAAGTGACTTTATATATATTAACATTTCATATTTAAACATTTAAATCCTAGAAACTTAACAAGTTGATAAAAACATCAAAAAGTTAAAAGAAAAAAATATCCAAACAAATTTAAGTGACTTTAAATATATTAACATTTCATATTTAAACATTTAAATCCTAGAAACTTAACAAGTTGATAAAAACTACAAAAAAAAAAACAACTTATTAATATATAATAAATTGAAATAAGCATCAAAATTTAAATGAAAAAATATTGCTTTCATATTGAAACATTAACAAGTATAAATCCTTAAATAGATAATAAAATTTACGCTCGAACAAAAAAACATAAGTTTAAAAATATAAATATATTATTTCATGATTTACTTCAATTAGTATAAAATCAATATCTTGTTCTAAACAAACTAGTTTGTAGCAAATATCAGATAAAATTACAAATTTTCTTTTTATTTTATTGAACTTAGAGATTTTGTATATTCCAAAATCTGACAAGTTACATAGGATAGTAAAAAAATTATCAATAGCATGGAAAGGAATAACTTTGCAATCAAACTCAGTATCTGAAACTATTTCTATGATACGAACAATTTCATTTGACTTCAAAATAAACCAGCCATCACGATCATTTGGAATAATTTTGTCAGTGATAGTCTTAGAGCCATAAGAAACATTACTACTTTCTAACTCACTTAAATGTTTTGCTAATTGATTAAGTTTATTTGCAGTTTTTACAAACTTTTTAACAATTTGAACAAAATTCTCAAAAGGAAAACTTGAAAGATCATGAAGGCTGCAATTGTGATAAGAAACATCCTCATGCAAATGAAGCAAAGCATGAATATAAGAATACAACTGTGACCCATAAAGCCTTTGAAGATTTAATACAAAACAAGACATTACTTTTTTGCAAAATCCAAGTAATGTTGTCGTTTCACTACATTTGAGTTGCTCATTAACGATACTGCAATACTTAAACACAGGAAGTTCTGGTAGAAATCTTTTTAAAATTCTGTTCTGGCAAAATATCTTTTAAAATTATTGGTCCAGTGTAGAGCAAGAATTGTCGAAACTCGGTTGCTTTGCCCAGTGAATTTGCACGACAAATTTTGGCATGTAAATTTGGCAAATAAATGGCATTTTGCCATGATAAAAAGCCAGTTTATCAGAAATTTGTTTTGTTTGCTGACATGATAAGCGGCATATACGTGGGCCTTCGAGCCAAAATTTTAATAGCCGCTTCATAACACCAAGACAAACACAATGCATATAATCAATAGCAAACTCTTTTACACACAAAATTTCATAATCAACCAAGGGAGTCCTTCCTAACTGATGAGGGTCACAGCAAACATTATTTGTTCTTAATAAATGATTTAAATAAATATATTCTTTAAATTGTTCATCACTTTGCAATTGACAGTTTACTTCTGTAAAAATAACTTTTCCATCATATTCTCCTTCAATTAAACATCATTCACATAAATGATACCCTCCATGACCGTTAATATTCTTTAAAAATGAACGAGCAGGTGCATCACAAACAAATCCCTTAATTGAAACAGGCAGAATTTTTCCATTAAATTCAATTCCACTAACTTGAAGCAATCTGAATTTAGTTAAAAAATCACGCAAATAGTCAAATAAATTATCTGGCTTCTTTTACCAATAAATTATCTGGCTTCTTTTACCACAAATTTTCTGGTTGTGACTCAGAAAACTTTGCTAAAATTGGCCAAAATTGTATGCTGCTACTCTTACATAAAGGCAATCCATCAATATTTATTAGCATATCAATTCTATGCATATATTTGTATTTGAATTTGTATTTGGAAATCTAGAAACAACGTATTTGTGTTCGATGAAATGTATTTGACCCCAATCGCGACTATAACTAATAAATTTTTTACATTTATGTATTCCTCTTTATTTTTCTAGGAATTACGAAATTAAAGAATTTTAGATTTATGTTTTCTCAGATACAACTTTGCAATGTAGTTGCTTGCAGCTTTCAGATGGTTTAATGTTTTTTCTAACTGTCTTGGAATTAGCAGGGTGGTACATTTGAGTCATCTGAATAACTAGTAAGTATATACAGTCAGCCATAAATCTTGCTTCATAATGAGCTCCCAGGTTATTTAAATGAGAAGTTCGATAACTCAGCTCCTAGAAAAAATGCCAGAAGCTCACAAAGATACTTGTAATTGCCTTGCTAGAAAGTTTTCTTAAGAAAAGCAGTGATTCTTAAGAAGAGCTGTGTGTCAATCTTTTATTTTATCTATATTTTTTTCTCTAATTATCTGTGCCTCAGGCTCCAAACATTATGAGTTTTCCTGTTTAAAATTGATTTTGGTATCAACATATTATTAATAATAACTTCACTAGCCTTGTAAAGAGAAGACAAAAACACAAGACAAAAGACATGTATAATTTTTTTTTTGTTTGCCTTAAAAAGACGCAATTTTGCTTCTTATGTAAACGACAAATGATCTTCCAGATATTCTCACATCTAAGGTGGCATTGTTTGCTGATGATACTACCATTTATTCTTGTCACGATAAGAAGCCAACTCCCTCTGATTTCTTGCAGGGGGCTTCTGAGCTTAAAAAAGATTCTGCAACAGCATAGGGCTCACAGTGGCTGGTGAGCTTTAATTCAGATAAAACTCAATTTACAGCCAATCATTAGTTTAGACCTTCCTATATTTATGAACAGTAATATACTCGATGAGTCTCCTACCCTTCATCTTCTAGGATTTACTCTCACTTCTGATCTTTCTTGGAAACCTTATATCAAATCCATTGTAAAATTAACATCTGCTGAAGTTACATCTCTTTATCGAGCTCGATACTTTATTACTCTGGATTCTATTCTCTATCTCTATAAATCTCAAATCCGGCCTTGTATGGAATACTGTTGCCATATCTGGGGCGGATCTTCTATTGAAGCCATTTCTCTTTTAGACAAGGTGCAAAAACGCATTGTATTCATAGTTTGACCTGCTCTTGCAGCGAACCTTCAACCTCTGTCACATCGTCGTAATGTTGCTTCTCTTTCTCTTTTCTGTAAATACTATAATGGGCACTGCTCTAAAGAGCTAGCGTCTCTTGTGCCATCTACTAAAATTCATTCTCGTGTTACTCGTCATTCAATTAAGTCTCATCCTTTTTCTGTTACTGTTCTTAAGTGCTCCAAAAAAAAAAATGACAAATCTTATGAGCTCTAAAATAATCTTTATTGGTGACTTTATACTTTCTAGTTATTGAATCCTTTTGTGGTGAAATAATATTGCTTCTCAGAGGAAGAAATAGCTTTTGAACAAGTTGCATTAATACACGTGCTGGATTGATGGGTTGGTTTTGAACCACGTGGCTGAGAAACGGTGCGTTATATTATTAGTTTTTTTTGGGGGAAACAATAAACTTGTTTGCTGGTAAGGATCAGTTAACAACTCAATCTTCCTTTTTCAAGGGAATAATAAACTAAAAAAATGCAAAATGTGGCAATAAACTTAAAAAACGCATAAGGTGGACAGGCTGTCTATAGAATTATTAACTTTTTTACGCAGCACGTTAAACAATGCCGCTGTTTGATTCAAAAACAGAAGCAATAATAACAAAATAGAAGTAGAAATAATAAAAATATCAAACTTTGGAGCTATCTTTCTCATTTGTCACATTAACATTTTTTAAAGAAGGTTGGCTGAAGCATTAAAAATTGATTTGATTTCATTTTATATTTAATAGTGTAATTAGATAACGTACTTCGATATTAAACATAGTTTCACTGCTAAGTCTTTAACTTGAGTTGGAAAGGATTTCAGTCCACTTTTATTCCAAAATATTTTTAAAAAAACTATGGGAAAGATTTTTGACCCCCTTATAGCTTAGGTGTTTATAGATTGATTTATATAATAATTAAAATATCCATATATATAGTTGAAAAAGTGACTAAAAAAGTTTAATTGAAGTGTTTCAATCAAACTTTCTTAGATATTACAGATATTACACTATTGCTATTACACAAAACTTAAATCTATTGTAGGAATTTAGAAAACTCATAAAATTTTGAATAAAAAAATATATTTTAATTGATTTTTCTAATTTTACAAAAATTATAAATCTTCATACACAAAGGCATAAAATTTGAATCTCCATATACAAATGCATAAAATTGCAAAAAATATTTTACTTATGATATACCCTATTAAAAATTATATATATAAATATATATATATATATATATATATATATATATATATATATATATATACATATATATATATATATATATATATATATATATATATATATATATATATATATATATATATATATATATATATATATATATACTCTTATTTAAATTTATTTCTATGATATATATACATTATATATACAATATTTATATATATTTATATATATATATATATATATACTTATAAATAAATATAAATTAACATTAAAGGCAATGACAATTTTCTCTTTCAGTAATTATAAAAATATCGAAAGAACCTCAGTGCTAATTATCATTTAATTATAAGTACAGCCCTTAGAATTAAATAAAATGTTTAAATGTGAGTGTGTGTATGCATATATGTATTTATGTATGTATGCGTATGTATGTATGTATGTATGTATGTATGTATGTATGTATGTATGTATGTA